ATCCGTGACGTCCTGCCCCTGGCCTTCACAATGCAACGGTCACTGCCTTATGGACGTTGACATTTACGAAGATTAAATCAAGTCAAGTCATAACTAGCCAGCCGATTTTAATTTACTACATTTTAGAAATTCAACCTATACTATTAGTATGTGATTTATTGCCTTAATGGAGTTACTGTATTTTTCGGATATAAGACGCACCTTTTTTCCCCAAAAAAGAGGGTGAAAGTCTAATACTCTGAATGCAGCTCCACCCACTTGCTCCGTGCGTTGCATTTTTGGGGGTTCCGTGCGGCGGGATCCTCACTTTCACATGGAGCCTGATTCCCGAAACAGCCCGGGGAAAAGCCTTTTCAAAGAAAGCATTTTTGGGCGTCAACACCACGATCCCCTCCCCGATTCCAAAGAAAGCATTTTTGGGCAGCACCACCACAATCCCCTCCCTGATTCCAAAAGGGGCACGTACAGAGGCCAAAAAAGTTCATCATGCATCAGGTGGCAAGTGGTTCCAGCACATGCTGCCACCTCAAAATGCTTTCCTTCCCAGTTCCCTGGTGCACATTGTAGAGCCACGCACCCTCCTCCTCCTCTGCAGACTCGCCTTCTCTTACTCCTGGCCAGCACTGTTGGCTGGGGGAGGCAGGGAGAAAAGTAAAAGGGCAGCACGGTCAGGTGAGGGCACTGGAGCCGGGCACGGACACAGGGCCGGTAGATTAGAGGCAGCCAGCCAATTGCCAGCTTGCTGGTTCAGCTGCTGGCCACCCGGAGTGCGCACGCAGCAAAGGAAACCCGCGTTGTGGCCGCTGCCTCCTGCCTACATGCTTCGTGGAGGCCAAGCAGCACCCTTTTTTGAATTGGGGGTGGGGGGAGTGGAGGTGTCGTGGCACTACAGCCCAAACATTATCAATGTTCCCAGGACCACTTCGCAAATCAGGCTCTGATCGAGGTAGCAAAGACATTAATCAGATGAATACTGATGGATGCTGCTAGGAAAGAGGCAGAAAGGTTTTTTCCTGATTTCCTCCTCAAAAATTAGGGTGCATCTTATACTCCGGTATGTCTTATACTCTGAAAAATACAGTATTTAAACAGACCATGATCAAATCAACTCTGAATAAGCATATTGGGCAAGACAGCCAGAGCATGCCTCAATGGAATTTTCTAAGAGTTCTTGCCAGTTCCGTTGCAGTATTTAATTAGCTCACTAGGCATGTTATTATGAATTATATTTTAAGTATTTAGCAGCTGTTAACAATTTATTTGAGTCATTTTTCTAAAAAGCCGTATCAAAATAAATAACCATGCCCTTATTTAAAAAGCACATTAGGCTAGAATGCAATAGGCTAATTTGTGACTACATCATGCAAATGAAAAGAACTATATTAATAAGATAAACCCTGGTCAAGTTAACAATGGCTAAGCACATTGCACAAATACAGTTCAACATTGCAAAATGAAAAAGTAGGTCTGGAAACAATTTAAGATTCGGAAATTAGTAGCCATGAAAAATCCTTCAGTTTACACATTCTATTAAGTGCATTACCTGCTTTGAGAACCAGTTTTTTGTCTGGTTTCCGTTGAAGCAGCAACTGGAAGACCAAGATTTGATGAAAGTGTGATATTGTCTAAAATTTCATTGGTATGATTAGCTATAGAGTTGACCGAAACACTTGGAAATGTCTCATCCCCAATATGTTTGAAATCTTCCATATTACTCTTGTCTCATAGTGTCTGAAAATTTCAATACAAACAAGCAACAAGGAAATTTTAAATTTACAATTCTAACATTACTATGTATTACTTTTCTACTGGAGTATGTATTTCTGTTACCTGAATGTTGAATACATGAAGGTTATCTTTCATAAAACTAAAGTAGCTCAATAATCAAGTATAATTCTGAAAATTACAATTAAACTTTACTGATATTAAATATTTTATCAAAGTACCAGCCTTATTTAACTGTTACAGCAACAAAAAAAGGATAGTCAATTCTTTCACAGGACATATCAGTTTGTTTAATCACCATATGCGTTGATTTAATTTTAGCTTTTAATAAGGATTATTATGAAGTTGTGTTTCAGAGAGTTCAGCATCTAAAGGATGCTAAAAGTGAAGAGGAAAATGTGTTTTTATTAAGATTTTTAAACTAATCCTAACTTGTACAGCTGCTGCAGTGCCATTGCCCTCAATGACAGGTACAGAAAAAACCCTGAATGTGCTATTCATATTGTGCATTTTATATCCTGCTAAACAACTTATTGCCTCCCTAACATTTAGACTTCAATTGCCACCAGACCCAGCCAACACCTCCAAAGACAACGGACTGCAAAAATTGTCCAAAACCAAGGGAACAAACTAAATTGTACATTCCTGTCTTCTACCAATAAAACATTCAGCTAAAATCTTCAACAATTTTAATTGCATAATACAGGTAAGTCCTTGACTTACAATAGTTCATTTAGTGACCTTGAAAGTTACAACAGAACTGAAAAGTTACTTCTGACCATTGCATATGATGGTCACATGATTTACATTGAGTTACAACTGATTCACATTTATGACAGCTGCAGTCTTGTGTGGTCATGATCATTTTTTGCAACCTTCTGACAAGCAGTCAATGGGGAAACCAGACTCATTTAACAACCATGTTGCTAATTTAACAGCTGCACTGATTTAACAAATGTGACAAGAAAAGTCATAAAATGGTAGAAAACTCACTTAGCAACATAAATTTTGGGCTCAATTGTGGTTGTGAATCGAGGACTACCTGTATCTCACATTTCTGCAAATGTGACAAAACTAGTCTTTCTGTTAAAACTTCTAACAATTCATTAAACAAGGGTCTTTTTAATGGCAGGCACATGAAGAAATAAACTGTAGTTCAGAAAAGATCCTTTAAAAGCTTCTGTGAACTTATCTATGCCTTCATGTGCCTGCCATAAAAAACCCTTTGTTTAATGAGTTATTTGTACTCAACTTTGTTTAAAAACTGTTATCTCAAGCAGACAAGTAGGTGATCATGAGGAACACCCAGCTATTCACAATAGTTGGATTGGATCATAATTTATTCCAATCTTAATCTTGACAATTTAGGCTCTAGGGACCAGGTTTTCTGCCCCAGGAGACATAAACAGACCTACTCAGCAAAGTCTTAGTGTGCAAGGAGTTAAAAACATTCTAAGGTGAAGGCTAATCCTTCCCTCCGCCTGGTGCCCTCCAAATACTACAGGTCTTAAATTAACTCTAGTTCTCATAGCCCAACACATCCGGAAAGCAACAGATTGGATCCTTCGGTAAATTACGGGGATCAGTGCTGGCCATAGTTTATTCCAATTTACTTCGAGTCAGAAGCGGCAGTGGCTCCTTTCAGGTAAGGGCGGGGGCACCCAAGCAACTAACACCTGGGATGCTCACGGGTGTTCAAAATCCCCTCCGCCAAAAACATTAGGACGAGAACCGCAATTTCATCTCCATCTCCTGGCCAAGAGCTCTTCCCTATCAATGGAGCGAGGGTCCGGCTCTCGTCCCGCTACTTCAGCGCGTCGCCCGCACCGGCTCCTTGAACCGACGGTACCAACGCAGCGGGAGTAGGAAAATGGGGGAGGGGGGACTAAGAAGTTCCGAGCGCCTCGCGACGAAGAGCGGGAACTGACTTAACTTCGCCTCCGCCTCCCCCAGCCCCCCACCCTTTCGCCTTTAGCCGCTTTCGGTACGCACAGGAAACAAAGCGCTCACCTAATCCCAAGCGTAGCGCAACAGTCAGACCGGGCGCGGGAACGCCTCGAGGGACGCGGAAAATCACTCCAAGGCGTCCCGGAAGTCCTCAAATCCCACCACTCTCGAACTCAGAAAAGAAAAATAACCCACCCACCGTCCCTCTTCCCACCCACCCCTCCCCCGCCCCCGTTTTTCCCCGAAGACGATGCGCACGCGCACCTTCTCTTCAGGCGCCTCAAGCAAGCCCGCTCAGGTTTTCGTTCAAGAAAAAAAGGCGGAACGCTATTGGATTGTGAGATCACACAGAAGAGGAGGGCTGCGGCCTTTCGATTGGACGAGAGGAAGTGACGCGCTTGCTTTCAAATGGCCTGGGATAATAAACTTCAATCCTGAGGAAGCGGGGACTGGTGGATATTTTGTTAAAACTATCAAACTACTCTGCGCTCTAATCCAGATTCACGGGAACTTGCCCAGAGACACAGATGTTGGGGAGATAATGGAAGCTTATTTTATTTATTTATTTCGTCAAGCATGTATTAGATCAGTGTTTTTCAACCTTGGCAACTTGAAGATGTCTGGATTCAGCATTCGCTGGCTGGGGAATTCTGGGACTTGAAGTCCAGACATCTTCAAGTTGCCAAGGTTGAGAAACACTGTATTAGATAACAGATGTATGTATAAAGATGATTATGAATACATGAAATGGACACAAATACAAGGAAAATTAGGACAGGGACGGTAGGCACGCTGGTACGCTTATGCACGCCCCTTAAATACCTCTTAGGAATGGGGTGAGGTCGACAGTAGACAGTCTAAGGTTAAAGTTTGGAGGGTTTGGAGAAGAAACCACAGTGTCAGGTAATGCATTCCAGGCATTGACATTTCTGTTACTAAAATCGTATTTTCTGCAATCAAGTTTGAGGCGGTTTGCCTTGAGTTTGTATCTTTTGTGTGCTGGTGTGTTGTTGTGGTTGAAGCTGAAGTATTCATTGACATGTAGCAGATAATTTTATGTACTACGCTTAGATCGGATCAAAGACAGCGAAGTTCTAAGTTGTCTCAGCCCAAAATTTCAAGCCACGAGTTTGGGCAAAGTTAGTACTGTTTATCTAAAATAGCGAAAGTACAATAATTATATTAGTTCCTCCCACAAGGTTGTATGGAATCCCCCTTACTGCTATTTACCATGCGACAGAAGACTTAATGGACTTGCTAATTGGTTTTGATAAACACTCTAGGGCAAGATGGCTTCAGATACATTATTACTCTGCAGGGGTCTCGCATTAAAGATGTTCAAGTCTCACCTGTTCAAAGTTGACTCAGCCTCCCTTCCTTCTGAGGTGGGTAAAATGAGGACCTAGATTGCTGACTCTGTAAACTGCTTAGAGGGGGCTGTAAAAGCACTGTAAAGTAAGTGCTAGTGTTATATATCGTATTGCCTTGTGTAACAGGTAGTAATAGACTTCCAGCAATGTAGAGGGTTCCTCAGCTGTTGAAAATTAATCCTTCATTTTGCATTATAAAGAAAAGAGTGGGACAAACCTGTTTTGAAGCTAATCTGTTCCTCAGCCTCTAGAAATATTATTTGTGATGTGCTTTCGTGGGCGTGTGTGATTTTATTATATTAATTTATTTGATTATTTTTATTTTATTGTTTTAAATGAGGTTTTATATTCTATAAGCCACCTTGAGTCACCATGTGCGAATAGGCGACAATATAAATTAAATAATTCTTTGAATTTTTCCTCCCAGGTATATACACTGGCAGGTGGTCTATGGAGATTCTCAATCAATAAGGTTGCCCCAAAGGTGCTTTTTTCCAAAACTTTCTTGGTTTTTTTTTTCCTTTGAAAACATTTTACTTCTCATCCAAGAAAAACTTATCAAAAAATATAACTAAGAAACTTTTTGGAAGAGAAGTAAAATGTTTTCAAAGGAAAAAAGTCCAGTTGCCTTTTGGAAAAAGTACTTAGCAGGATACATACTATTGAATCAAAGCAAAACAAGGTTTACTAGATATAAAGTCCCATTCAGACTTAAAAATACCACTTTATTTGAAATGTAGATGCCACATGTTTCTCTCAGGAATGCAAGTATCTGGACAATTACTGTATCACAGCAAAGAAAGGCTTTTGTATCTCTGTTATTTACCAATTGTCTAGATCAGGGGGGGTGGTGTCAAACTCAAGGCCCAGGGGCCAGCCCCAGCCCGTGGGATGCTTAGAACTGGCCCGCGGGGCCCCCTGGAAATAGCAAAGGACTGACCCATGGTGCCTCTGCCAGCGAAAACAGAGTTTGGGAAGGCTGCGTGCAGCCTTCCACAGCTCTCTTTTCGCTAGCAGAGCTGCAGGACGCCGTCCCAAGAGAAACTGGAGCTCGTGAGTGCCACGTGTAACCCCCACAAGCTCCTTTTCACTGGCAGAGGGTTGCAGAAGACTGTCCAAGCTGAGCTCATGAGCCATGTGTGGCCCTCCAAGCTCCATTTTCACTGGCAGAGGCCGTTGCAGCCGAAAATGGAACTCAGGAGCCTGTTTTCGCTGGCAGAGCACTCGGGCCAGCACAAGAGCCACCCTATACAAGTGATGTCATGCTGGCCACATCCACCCCAGCTCGAGATCAAACACAAACCTGATACGGCCCGCAATGAAATCAGCTTTGACACCCCTGATCTAGATTTTTCCTGAATAATATAGCAGTCCCATTACTCTCACCTGTTACCCCTCTCAACATAAATATTTTCTATCACCAACCGGCAATTTCTTTTTTCAAACATGTCACTGGCCATTAAGATGAGACAAATAAATAAACAAAAATAAACAAAATCTTTAGTAAGGTACACCATCATTTCCCAATATTTACTTATACTTTTTGAAGTAAATGAAGGTAACACACTACATACTTTCTCAATGTTTTATTGATTTATTTTCATATCTGTAGTGGATTTCATTATACAATGGGAACAGTTACACAAACAACAAATATTCTTATTTTGTTATAAGCATGTGTACTTTATTTTTTAAGACTTTCATGAAATTGCTAAAGATGGAAAAAAGCTAAGGAATCTGATGACCTAAAAGATTCTTATGCTAAAATGTAAAATTTTTAATTTACTTATATACTATAGGGAAGTTTTTTTCCATCTGTATTTAATTTTAAGAAATTATTCCCAAATAATACAAAGTTAATTACTAACAGATTACAACAAATTGAATATTTTAAATGATAAAATACTGTTTCACATAATTTATCCTGAACGCTGCATTAGATTGTTGAGTGTTAATAGTAGAGAACTAGTTTTTATTATCGGCAGAACTAAGCATAGTAAATTTGAAATATTGTAGTTTGCATTATAGATCATGCCTTTAAAACCTATTCTGAATTATGGTTGGAAAAAAGGTTAAAAAAAAGAACAGCGAAAAGAAATAGATTTTTAAAGCATGTGAGTTAGGCTTTAATACAGCTTTAAATATGTATCAAACCCCTTCATGTTCACGTAAGAGCTTAAGAGGTCGAGAAATATATCGTCTGCGAGGGTGAGGATACTGGATATTGGCAGTGTCAGCATCGCAAGAGTGTTCTATCAGAGGAGGAAGAGGAGGAGGAGGTGGTGGTGGTAAGAGCTGGGCATAACTGGACCATCTTGATCCAGCCCATGGGGAGTCCAGAGGGGGGAAAAAATACCTGAAAACAATTCAGACAGGAACACCACACAGAAGGGAAAAACAGAAAGAATAGTGGTAAATACAAGAACCAGAGAGGAGAGACACATGCTGGGACAAAATGAAAGAAACAAAATCAAGTTCTCAGCTCAAGTTATCATTTTTTAAAACTATTCCAAAGGAAAATTATCATACGAGACAATAGGAACTATCCTTTACATTCATTGTAAAACGAATATACTACATGTAAGTTAACTGATTCTGAACTATTGCATGCCTTCTCATTTATCCTACAAATCATGCTGTTTTAATGCAATTACAGAAAAACAGACACAAATTATATATCCAGATTGGTCTACTCATTTGCATCCAATTTAGATCAACTCTACTCAGATGAAAACATCAAACTTAAAAATAAAAACATAGTTTTACAATGTTAGATTTTCACAATATACAGAGTTGGGTTTTTTCCATTGCAATAACAGTCTGTGTGCTTATATACATTTCTCTGGAAAAAACACAATCAAAACTTCTAATTAATGGCTTAAAAGATCATTCCATACTACTTCTTATGACTTACCCGTAATAAAAGAAAACTTTGTAATCTTTACAATCTTTGGAAATGTACATAAATTTACAGAACAGAAAAGTTAGTAAATTTTGAGACAAGACGTATTTAAAGCCACACTGACATGCCATTATGTAAAACAAGGCATTAATTGAATGTTTGCCCTATGACACCACTTCGGTTTATTTCAAGGCAACAACTGCACTGCACAGAGCAAGGTGTAAATACTTGGCAATGCAGGAACTGGTTGGGGTCACAAGATGATAATTCCCATACCAAACTAGAACAAACATTCATTTGGACTAGATTTCCATCACAAAACCAATAAGATGAAATCTTACTAATTATTGCATGGATTCATGCTACTATAACATGCAATTATCAGGTATGTTCAGATCATTCTTATCAAGACAACAAAAATATGTTACTAATAGTTACTAGTTACTAATAGTTTTGTGATTTTCATCTGAAGTAGTTCTGAAATAATACCAAAATAATTTGATATCAACTCTACAGTTGCCAAATTACAACGTGCTCACACTGTTTATGACTAAGTGTATACTACAATCCATCCAGTTAGCAAAACTAATTGCTAATCATCTATGTGAACACTTCAAAAAGCCAAAGTTAAAATAATCAAAATAATTTTAATGAAAAACAGTTACTCCAATTGTTTTGCATTAAGGATTTATCTCCTAACAAGCTTAGAATACAAGGACAATAATCTTCTTTACATTAGTGAATTCCGGCTTTCTCTTGCAACATGTCTTTTTGAGAAATGGAATCCATAAGAGAATCCTGTTACTTTTTTTGTTACAGATTCCAACAAGATCATACTGTGCTGGCTAGTAGAGTACACATGTAGTATTTTTTTAAAAAGTAATTTGATTTGCATTTAGTAGTAGACAGATT